TAAAGATGGCCAAGGTCGTTGGCCTTTATCAATGTCATGATCCTGAACAACATTCAAAAGGTTTTAGCTAGTGTTTGGACATCTTGGATGATGCTAATGCCGACAGTACTCCAACTTTCAAGCTTCATAACTCAAGATTTATTTCATAAAAAAATATTTTATTTATGTGTTTTGGAAAGCTCTCGAGGCACGCTATAAGAACGTGTAATGAAAAATTAGGGGTTCCATTTAAAAAATTCAAAGTGACCTTGTCCTGACCTTGACGACGCCACTCAGGATCCAAACCAATGTTATCATCTTATGTCCCCCTCGAAACCCTACAACTTTTGTCTGAAACATTTTTTCCTAGTGTGCTTATTTTTCGAGATATTTGAAAGTTTCAGGTTAAAAAAGTCACCCTGTATATATTGATATATTTATTATACAGCTTCCTCTTTAATATTGATGAGCTACCAAGCGTAAAAAATTCGATTTCTGACGCAGTACAGGGGCTTAAGATATTCCTTCAAGCGGCAGATACTCCATGGTCAATACTGCGCTGTCAATTTGAGGATCAGAAACGACATCGCCGCGTTGATCCTCGCTGGAGTCGTGGCTTTACCTTCGTGGGATCTCGTCAGCAGCGGTATCGCGGAGGATATCGTCAATCTTTTATCGGCAATTGAATCTGGCATTACTAAAATATGGACGGAAAACGTAAAGTTCTCCAACAACGATGAGGACCTCTTCTTCAAAAAGACCCTGCTGATGATCATCGCTCATCTCGCCGATATCGACATTTACGTCTTTGTAAATTATATATTTTCGTCAATTTTATTTTATCTTATAATTTATTTTGAACGATAATGTAATAAAAGAGAAATCCGGGAAAGAAATATATATAAAATTTTGTTAAACCTGTCATTTTTTTCAAGTACGAATTTTCTGGGAATTTTCTTGAAGATTCAATCTCAGAGCATATTTTAATAAAAACGTATGTGATTTTGTAATTTTAAGAAATTGTATCAACAAAATGCTTTTCAATCTTTCTAGGTGATGAAGAAAGCGATGATTATGCCTATTATTCTCGGGATCATTAAATTCTGCTTAAACGATGGAAAGGATAAAGGATCTTTTCCGTCGCTAATTCTTTTGGAGTATGCAATGCATATCTTATCACTGCTAGCGCCACGAATAGAGACGGAATTTATGAAGCGCAGAGGCACTCTTACGTAAAAACAAAAAGAGAGATAAACATGAAAAATTAATCGGATTTTATAATGCTGAGCCAAGTGAAATAAATTTTAATACTCGCAGATTACTGGCGATGCTCGAGCGAATTTTGAGTGTGGAATTCGACGAGTGTCTTGCGATGATTTTTACGAGGACCGTCTGCTCGATAAGCCTGCAGAACAACGCTCTTCTTCTGGAGGATTTTCAAAAGCATGGAATGATACCGTTATTGATTCGTAAGAAATATAAAATATATATATATTTCTTTTCTACTGATATTTTAAATATAGAAATTGTCGCAGTTTTGTCACGATAATCTTTAAATTCTTAATGAAATATATTCCTTTTAATAACCATTATTAATTAGTGAGAGATATAAAATATATATATTTTCTACTGATTTCAAATATAGAAATTGTGTTCAGTTTTGCCACAATAATTTTTAAATTCTTAATAAAATATATTCTTTTTAATTTCAGAATTAATCAGCAACATAATGAATTTAGATAAGCTTACGATGAGGAGGCAACGAATTTTAACGTTGCTGCTGATCGCCCTGGAAGTTCTCGTGAAAAAAGAGCCGTCTGTTCAACAGATGTGCGAGCGACGAAGCATCGAGTTTGTCTTAGAGATCTTCGCAAAGTGTTTGTATAAAAAAACCGACGACTTTCAAGTGGATCAGCGGTAACATTTGCCATTACATTAAATATTATTTACAAACGTTATTTTTATATGTTATTCCCTATATTAATTAACTAATTTGTCAAGCTAATTTGCGCCACAAATTACATATTTATCAACAGGGCTGGGCATATTTCAAACACTTGTATTTGAAATACAGTATTTGAAATACAATTTGTATTTTGTATTTTGTATTTCAGCAGAACACATAAAAGTATTTTGTATTTTGTATTTCAAATAAATTATTCAATGTATTTTGTATTTCAAATACAATTTCAATCTATTTTGTATTTGAAATACTAAAAAAATTATTGATAAAAATTCTTGATAACCATTAAGAGTAACTTAAATTTTTCTCATATGACACTAATTATTTTCATTAAGCCCAGCCCTGGGGAGTTATGCTTCCACGTCGACAGCTAAACCGGATATTCACGGCTCCAAGGTCATGCTCTGTATTTGGTGGAACCAGCTCGGCGTAGTGTATTATGAGCTGTTAAAACCGACTGAAACAATCACAGGCGATCGATATCGACAATTGATGCGTTTGAGTCGAGCATTGAAAGACAAACGGCCGCAATACAACGAGAGACACGATAAAGTGATTTTGCAGCATGACAATGCTCGATCTCATGTTGCGAAAGTGGTCAAGACATACTTGGAAACGTTGAAATGAGAAGTCCTACTCGCCGTATTCTCCAGACGTTGCTCCCTTTGACTATCACTTGTTTCGATCAATGGCACACGGCCTGGCAGACCAGCACTTTCGGTCTTACGAAGAAATAAAATATTGGATCGATTCATGAATCACTTCAAAAGATGACCAGTTTTTTCGATGCGGGATTTGTACGCTGCCCGAACGATGGGAGAAAGTAGTGGCCAGCGATGGACAATCCTTTAAATTATAAATGTTGTGACGTGACGTCCCTTTTTGGACTGTCAGTCACAAGGGACCTCATCAAGGGATGCGGACCCGACCGCAGGCGGCGATTTTGAGTCCCGCGTCCTCCCAATTTTCGGAGGCGGACGCGTGGCGCGGGCCGCGGGACCACATTTACGTGGCCCCCGCCGCTCGAATACCGAATATCGTTTATAACCGTCTTTATAGTTTCCATAGCGATCTCGACTGTTTGTTATGCCGTATCAGCGGCTCCCGACAAATTGTAGGATTTTCCCCGTCTCACCGACACCGTAGCGACCAGTAGAAGAGGACCACGAGGACGAGGAAGACATCCCCGAGGAAACAGCGTACGCAGGTCGTATCTTTTAGTTCGCGTGCCTTTCCTTAACTCGAGAACAATTTAGCCGCCGAGCTTCCTTATAGATTCCGGTGCGAGCCAGCTAAGGCGAGGATAAAGGGGATGGCCACTCTACGCCCTACACCGGGCGAGAGACCCCGTAGTCGGAGACGCAACCGGGCGCTCCAAGGATAAGATTTGCCGCCAGGAACGGCCCCTGATGAGGAGGAGTTCCGCAGGACCAGTCGTCTGAGCGTGCCAAAACGGGAACGTACCACCGACGAGAAAGACGTCGCCTGTGATTTGAATACCGCGCGCGGGGACACAGGACCCGCGGTGCTACGCACCTCACGGGATTCGCGGGGGTCGCGAGCTCGCACACCCGCCAATTAGGGGCGCGGAAGGATGTACCACGTGGGCCCACCGGCCTGGCGAGATCACGGAAGCAGCAGCGCCCGGCACTTGTGCTGTGGCTGCGAGTGAGGAAGGACGCAGGACGAAGCTGTACGCGAGATACATTCCGCAGAAGGAGAAGCGAGATGCCGTTTCCGTGACGAGGAGTTCTCGATGAGACGAGCGCATTTATGTAAAGCCGCCGATTTTTGTGTGTCTGACGGGCCGCAGGGAGTGCGCGCTAGTATTATTGTTTTCATTGTGCGACACGGCTAGAGCCGATAAAGCTTTCATATATTTTAGCGCCCCGTCTGACATTGTACGTCGAGAT